CACAGATCATTATCCATTTTATTCATAAAATTGTACATATCCGTTTCTGGTCTTTTTTGGTTCTGATTGGTTGGAAATGGTCCTGGTCCAAGAAAGATGTCACGAAGTGGTATACCAAAACAAAGGCTAATGCTTCGATTCAGATTAATGTAGTTTAGAAGGTATTACAAATTAAGTACAAACTATTGACTTCAAACTATCCCTTATTAGCCTTGAATTATCGAGTTTGTCTTTTTTTAATTATTTTGTCCCTTTACATACATGGTTCCATTACCAAAATCAGGGAGGAGCTTGGTGGTGGTGGAATCAGGGAGGAGTACAACTGGTGGTGGCTTTGGACAGTGTCAGATGTTGTTTTGACGGGCACTGCCTTCAGTTCCTGTACCGGCGATGTCCTGTGTCATCAGGAACCCCTCATCCGCCCATCGCCATAGTTGGGTTTGTTTAGCTTTTTGCATGATAATTGTTTTATTACTTATACATGGAGTATTAGGTTGTGTTTTTTGCAAAGATGCTGATATGAAAGCCTTTTTTGCTGGTACATGTGGTTCATTCCGCTTTTATCTTAATGATTAACCAACTATTGAGGAGTTGCACATATCCTTATTAAACATAAATTTTGTATTACGTTCATGATTCAGATGTTGTTCTACCTTGTTCTATTATATGCATCGAACATTGACAAGCACCGTCTCCACTACTTCCACCTATCCCTTTTGTTACCTTCTCCCAGTTAGGTTGATCCCCAATTCTCTATTCCGGTTATCCCCTCATTATTGTTGGGCAACTGTTAAATTAGTGGTTCTGCTTTGCTCTAAATTCTTTTAAGGTTACAGAATGCAGGTTCATTTAGTCGGCGAGGTAGATTCAGGAAACAAGTATCTGAATTTCAACCAAGCATTTAGATATTGCAGTGCAATGTTGTCTTCTTAGGTACATCATCATCTAGCATAGTTCCTTTCCTTAATATCTCTGTGTGGTTCATTACTACTCCATTTTCCTACCAAAAGATCTTGTAGTCATGGTCATATTATGCTTTTCGAAGCCACCAAAAGTGGAAAGAACGGCAAGAAATTTTTGTGACCTTGAGTGCTTCCTGCCAGGGTGTTCAATCTTATTGTTGTATTTTCTATAAAACTCTCTCCCATAGGACTTGAGAAATAGACTCCCACATAACCTTCGGCACCCTCTCCACTGCAATTCAGCCATGACCAATCAGTTCGCGTCCTGCATCGCTCTGCAGTAGGAGAGTCCATAAGAGAAACAAGAGGAGAAGCTACTCGGTATCCCTACAGATTTTGTAGCTCGTCTTAGAAAAGAAGATAACATTAGGGAGCAGAAAAACTGAAAGCGTATTGTGATTTTTAGGAGACTTTCTCATCCGCTACACATTTTTTGTCTTCATGTGTTGTTTGTTTTCTCTCATAAGTTAAATAGTTTATTGGTGTTATTTTTTTATTATGAAGTGGGCACGACAGAGTAGCCAAGTAGTTAATCATTTTATCTTGTCTTCGAAGAAATATATGTACTATGCTAATGGTTTATATGATGACCCAGTCCCAAACTTGTATTTAAATTCAACATGGTTTGTTA